AGTGATTGCATCTAGTGGCACTTGTGGATCGTTGTGGCTATAGATTTCTTATTTCTCTTGGTGGTTGCCACCACCTAGATGGCTTGGAGCAGTGGAGGAGGATTGGCATGAGTTGGTGATTGTTCGTGGCCATCTCTCGATGATTGTGAGGGGTCTTGTGCCTTCCCTGGCGGAGCACCGAAAGGTAACTCTAGTGGATTGCTTGTGTTATTGAGTTACCTCACTTGTGGGTAGGTTCTTGCGGTATCCAATTGTGTGGACTAGGTTCATGCAACACCTCTTAGCCATCAAACCACCAAGTGTTGGTCGACACAACGAGGACTAGCGTGTCGGCAAGCACGGGAACCTTGGGAGAAAAATTGGTTGTCTCTTGCCCTTTGGTATTCTCTCGGTGATTGAATTGGTATTCATCTTGTGATTGGTTCACTCCTCTACGCGGCAGTATAATCACCCTACTCACTCATTTATATTCCCACAAACTAATTGTAGCAAGCTCTTTAGTATAACTAGAATTGAGAGCTTGCTTTGTAGTTTAAGTTCATCTAGTGGAGCTCTTTAGTGTAGCAAGTGTGAGAGCTCTTAGTGAGTAGTGACTTAGCAAATTGTGTGCTTAGTGATCATAGCAACTAGAATTGTTAGATAGGTGGCTTGCAACCCTTGTAGAGCTAGAGCAAGTTTGCATTTAGCTATTTATCATACTAATTAAATTGCTCTAGTGATCTTGTAGATTTTTAAATAGGCTATTCACCCCCTCTAGCCATATTAGGACCTTACAGCGGCATCCCCCCCGGTCACCGGCACCGCCGCCGCCACCGCTGGCGAAGACGGCCGCGCTAGCAAAGGCTGGCTACTCCGCCACCCCTAGATCGTGGGCTATTTCGGCCTCAGACTGTCGTGCCTCCCCTGCTCCCACGTCGACCGGATCTTCCTCCATGGAGTCCGGTGTCTCTAAAGATCCTGGTGGGACCTCCACCAAGCTGCCTCCCCTGGCGGCCGCAGCCAACGCCGTACTCGAGCAGGCTGCAAGGTCGCTCTCCCCCTTTGCTGCCCCTTGGACACCTTCCTCTCCGATAGTCATGGGCCCATCCACCTGGGCTGGACAGGAGATGTTGTCCTTCTCTGACTCTGAAGCATCGTCCGACGAGTCGATCGAGCCATCCCCCGTCATGGACAACGGCAGGGCCAAGGCTGTCTTGGCCACAAGACACAGGACGCGTCGTTCCCGCGTGCACAGCAATAGGTCCGGGTTCATGGTGGATGCTCGACGCCCCCCTCGCAGCGTGGGGACAATGGGTTGGGGTTCATGGCGGATGCTCGTCGCTCCCCTCAACCGCGCGGCGACATTCGAGTGGGGCCTATGGCTGACGCTTGTCACTATCCTCCGCCGCGCAGTCGTGTCGAGGTGCGCCCGCCCCCACCCGTGCCACAGCACAGGATTCCCATCCACGCCACCATGTCCCCCGGCCTGGTGCACGTGTCGACGCTGAAGGCTTCACACTCATCGAGAGCCGCCATCGCTGGCACTGTTGGCCCTGCGCCTCACGCCCATGTCCGGTCCTACCATTCCTGGCCGGCCTCTGCTTCAACTGTCTGGCTGGGGACCATGTCGCTGCTGATTGCCACTTCCCATCCTGCTACCTGCTCTGTAGACACATGGGCCACCATGCACGGGAGTGCAAGCGAGGCCGTTCTTCTTCACGCAACGTCGCCAGGGCAAGAGAAGCGCCGTGGTGCCACCTTTGGCTCTAGGACTAGCGCCGGCCGCCACCGTCGCCCAGCACAGTTGAGCCTAGACGCCACCCGACATCGCCTTCTTTCAATGTCATCACAGCACCCACCTCCAGCCACTCCGCTGCCGTCCCCTCCACCGGGTCATTGGGGGCCACCATTGTCGTCGGGTCCTTCCCATGCCCGACCTAACCAGGGGGCGGTCCATGGTCGTCTGGCCCATGCAAGTGGGTCCAACTGCTGACAGCAGAGACTCGTCACCATCCCATGTCAGAGCCTGTGTCGCATACCTCCTAGGCATATGAGGCCTCCCTGCCGTTTGAATTTCAAATCCTAGCATAGCCTGAAGTGCCGCCAGCGAGGTGGGATCCAATGCTCGGAATCGCTCATCTGGTGGGCCAGGAAGCGCCACCACTCATGGAGTCTTCTAGCCAACGGGCTGCACCTTTTGAGCCGGAGATGTCGCTACAAAGTGCGCCTGCGCAGTCGTCCTGGGCAGCCAATGTGATCGCTGAGGAGCATGACCACGCGGCGGGGACCAACGTCTCACCCGTTCATCTTGGAGACGTGGTCCCTGATGTGCCTGCAAGCCCAGAGATTGCGACTCCTCTGGACATCGTTGTGGACTGTGCGGACACTTCTCTGGTGTCGCCACGCGTCCAGGTGGTAACAGGGGGAAGCGGGTGCATGGTTGGGCCTCCTTCTTGCAATGGACCGCCGATTGGGCCACTTCCACCCGCCTGGTCTCCTGTTAATGAGGGATCATCTCAAGACAACGCGCGAAGTGCCAGTCATCCTTCAGTCCAACCCAACTCAGTCCAAGACTTCATTGCTAGTCTAAAGCTGCCACTCGACAAGCCGCTGATCCAGTCGCCGCCGCGCCTTCGCGTCTCGCGCGTGCCTGTCGAAAGTCTCGTGCCACGGCGCAGTGTCAGACTCGCAGCCACGTCCGTCTACCGCGACCCAAACCCAGAGAAGCAGGCCAAGCGGATGATGCTCACCAAATGGCGGCCCTCAGTGAGCGCTCCGCGGTCTTCGCTAGCGACGCCTGACGCGTCCATCGCGACTCGGTTCCACGAGACGTTCCAAGAGCCGTTGTCTTCCTCCATGCGTGAGCTCTTCCCCATGGCTGGTGCTCACAAGAGGCGAGCGCCGCCGCAGGCGTTTTGAGCACGGGTTCACTCAACGTCACAAGCTCTTCGGTCGCACATTTAGTCTCTTAGTTAGTTAGAACAACGTGCGTTCCACCGTCTAGCGGTGCCTTGTATTCGTGTTCAACCCCATCCGTGAAGTGATGTTGGGTGTGTAAATCTTATAAACTTCTTAAAGAAACACGTGCTATACATGTTCTCGAAAAAAAGATGTCGGGCGGGAAGCAGAGCAGAGGACGGGGCGGTGCCCTGTTTCGAAAGTAGCGATGTCGGCCGTGTAAAAAGGCTTGAGCATCGGCCACTTACGGCCCGGCACACCATGGGTGCGCGAGGCCCGGCACAGCATGGCTTGCGTACTTTGAATTTTCAGAAACAAATGTGTAACATGTGTTTGCCGCTTTAACATGAAGCAACTTCTATACAGCTTTCTCTAATCTAACAGTAGTAGACACGTGTGAGTGTGACAGAGTTGCCAGTTGTGAGGTTACCGTGGTTTGTAAAACAGATTGTGATGCTTTGTTCAGTCGATCTGAATTTGTTCATCCGTTGGTGGCCCACACATCCAACGAGCAAACAATAGAATCAAAGCAATTTGGTCGACACTGTAACACTCAGCTCTGAAAACACAATCACAGACGCATCATAGATGTCCCTAAAACGTTCCGGTGCCGTGAAAGGTGAGGAAAAATATGCCAAAAGAAGCTACATCAATGCAAAACCAGTTCTAAAAACTACCAGAAGCGTTTGTTTCTCTGCTTTCCGGATTCTCGATCACAAAACCGGGCACCGTTACATCTGTTTTTTCAGAGATGTAGTAGGCTCAAAACCGGGCAGTATTGCGTCTGTTTTTAGAGATTTATGCTCAAAACCAGGCATCGTTGCGTCTATTTCGAGAGGTTTATGCTTAAAACCGGGCATTGTTATGTTGTCTGTTTTCAAAGATTTATATGCTTAAAACCGGGCATCGTTACGTCTGTTTTCAGAGATTTATATGCTCAAAAACTGGGCACTATTGTGTCTTTTTTACTAGTGTATGGGTCATGGTTCACATACCAAACACTGAGGGGAACCCAATACATTTTCGAATTGGATTTCATATCATCGCTATAGTTGTTATAACTCGTATGAACATAAGCCATGAGGCCAAGTCACGTATAAAATATGCTGGACGGCAGGGCAGTTTAGGAAGTAAAAAAGTGGGATGAGAAATAGATTAGAACAGAAAATTTTTGCTCTTTCAATATAGATATAGATATAGATGTAGATATAAAATAGAGATATGTATATAGATTTATGTTTAAAATTGGGCAATGTTTGCATATGACCAGGCGGGCGTGATATACACATAGATGTAGAATGACTATAGATTTATGTTTGAAATTGGGCACTGTTTGCAGACGAGCAGGCGGGCGCGATATAGATATAGTTATAAATTATGAATGAAATTGTGCACTGTTTGCAGATGACCAGGTGGGCGTATATAAGCTCACACCATCGGCGATGTGCCATCACCCATTTTGATATAGATATAGATATAGATATAGGTATATATATAGACATAGATATAAAATAGAGATATGGATATAGATTTATGTTTGAAATTAGACATTATTTGGAGATGACCAAGCAGACGCGATATGCATATAGATATAGGATGGATATAGATTTATGTTTGAAATTGGGCACTGTTTGCAGATGAGCGGGCGGCGCATTATAGATATAGATTTATGAATGAAATTGGGCACTATTTGCAGATCAGCGCGTATATAAGCTCACACCGACGGGGATGTGCCATCACGCATTTTCTGGCTCAGCAAGTTGCAGAACCAAGGCCATGTTTAAATTGCAAAAAAATTCAACCCGATGAATAGTAGCACTTTCGTCTTATTTAGTAAATATTGTCCAATCGTAGACCAACTATGCAAAGATTCATCTCATTATTTCCAACTAAACTGTGCAATTAGTTATTTTTTTTTACCTACATTTAATGCTCTATGCAAACGGCTAAAAATTGATGTGATGAAGAGAGAGTAAAAAAACTTAGAATTTGATGGTCATCTAAACAAGGCCCAAAGGAGAAGAAGAAAAAAGAGTTGCAGAATCACAGTAGCACTGACGCCCATGGCTGCATCGATTTCGGGTGCCGTACTCTGCAGGATCGCCGTCGCCGTACTCATAGTTTCTACCCTGTCATCCTATGGTATGCCCAACGATCAATCATCAAACTGTTTTCAAAGCTTTCCACGTACGCATGCTAAGGCCTTGTTTAGTTTCACGAGTTTAGATTTTGGGACTACTGTAGCACGTTCGTTTTTATTTAGTAAATAGTGTTCAATCATGGACTAATTAGACTTAAAACGTCCGTATCGTAATTTTCCACCAAACTGTGCAATTAGTTTTTTTTTCGTCTACATTTAATGCTTCATGCATAGGCCGTAAACATTTGATGTGACAGATACTGTAGCACTTTTTTGGATTTTAGGTTCAACTGAACACGCGCTAACAGTGGTTATCGTTTTATCGATTGTTGTGTGGTTCAGCGGAGGCGAGGTACGATTGCTATGCCCCGTGCAAAGACTGCCCAAACTGCGACGGCTGGTGCAAGCAGAAGGGGTACCCCAAGGGCGGGCACTGCCACCCGAAGGACGGCGGCGGCGACGTCGTCTTCTGCTGCTGCGACAGGACAGACGTCAGGAAGCTGCTAGTTTCAGCGGATGCACTTCCCTGATGAACTCATAAACAAATATAAACGGGACTGGAATACTGGATGCGTTGAAAATAAATTCGCCCCATTTTCAGCAAGGCATGGCGTACTGTTAAACACAAGCTAGGTTGTTGTGGGTTTATCGCATGACGAACAGCAAACTACCAAGCGCGTCTGTTTGTCACCTTGACGGCCACTGTTCTATAGTATATCTGTAGCCTAGCCTAGCGCCATAGCCGAGCTACGGCCGCGTCTTCTTGACGCTCTCCTTGACGTCCTCGGCGACCTCCTTGGCCCGGTCCTTGACTTCGCGTCCGGACTCCTTCACCTCCTCCGCGGCGCCCCTCACCTTCCTGCCGACGTCCGCGGCCTTCTCGGCCGCGCGGCTCGCCGGATCTTCACCTATCGTCGTCCTCTCCCTGACCCTGTCCTCCTCCGACCCCGTCGCGGGTGCCGCATCGCCGTTGTTGACGGCGGAGGTAAACGCCGCGTGGTACATCTGAAAACAGAGTGCACGGGGACGACAAAGCAGACAGAGAACACATCAGTCATCGTTCATCGTGCGAGAGACGGCAGACCATGCATCACACACACCCGCACATGGTCCGAACTCTGAACGAGAGGAAAGCAGGAAACTACGACCTGCGTGAGAGAGACGGCGGCACGAGCGCTTGTGGCGGCGCTGGCGTGGCTGCAGGCCGGTGAGCATCTGGCGCCGGCGGCGCGGCCACCGAGCGAGGATCCGAGCATGCGAGAAGCCATCGATCCCAGTCGTGGACGGAGTTGGGGGCTTCGTGTTCCGCGTGCACCTTTGTACTCGGCACCGCGTTGCAGGTCACCGTGTGATATGCACGCACGTAGGCAGCAGGGTGTCGTTGTCTTGTTGGGGTGGCGCGCGCTGCATGTCACAGGTGTTCAGAGACTTTTCGACTTCCGTGGGCGGCGCCGCGGCGGCCGCTTAGCTCCGCGGTCTGGGCATCGGCAATGGGCCTAATAGCGCGTCCATTTGTGGGGTGGAGAATGGGCTCCGGCCCATGAAATTGCTCTCGGCTGACACGATGCCGATCGGGCCACATTGCTAGGCCTCTAGCGGTCTAACCCATGAACCTCGCCGTCCTTCAATCCGCATCGCTCTGCCTCTGCGCGTGTGGTGTGACGACCGTGTGAGAGTGCGCGACTCCCGGTCGTCACTCCCGTCAGCGCCGTGCTGGCCCACATGCATCGGGATTCGGGAGTCAAGTCGCCGGCGACCTTCAATTCTTCCTCGGCCGCCTCCGATGGGGACGCCGGCCCCGCCGAGCGCCGTGGGGAACCGACACGGCCGCACCTGACCCGACGGATGATCATCAGATATTCAGATCTGTGACGTGACATGACCATATGACTATACAGTACGAGCAATTGAGCATTGAACAGGATGTTTGCTGTGCCGGGATCTCAAGGCCAGAGGATGTCGCGGAGACGCTGACTAATCGCGCGCGCTTTCCCACCGGCACCTTCGCTGTCACGTCCCCTTGTACACACGCTGAATCACTGGTGCCAAGGCCGGCGCCCGGTGACGACAAGAGAAACCGCGTCCCGCACGGTCGCACCGGCGCAAGCGCGATTGAACGAAATGCATGGGTGGTCGGGTGGACCGAGGCAGACGGACATGGTGGTCGCGACTTGTCGCACGCAGCTAGCGGAGCGGCCGCAGAAATTTGTCGCATTTCTCCGTCATCCGACCAGTGCCGGTCCCAGGATTTCGAGGCCCATGCATGACGGCCCTGTCGACAAATGTTTTTTAAGTCTAAAAAACGGGATCCGGGAATAAATTACAAGAAAAACATGATTATATAAATGACAAAGTACCGCGGAAAATTGAACAAGTGACAAAAAACCCAGGACCGTCACAATTTGGACATAAACTTTTTGAACCAAGATTTCAAATCACAAAAAGGCGTGCCACCGTAGTCACATGTCGTCATCTTCGCGCGTCTGCCTTGGCAGGGAAGGGCAGACGGAGAAGGAAGACCGGAACTGGTGGCATTGATTTATTTGGTGATCACGCAGTGTGCCACCGTTTTCGGCGCTCTCGCCGAAGTCCGACCGACAGCGATCGCAGAGTCCACTTGGCGGCTCGGCTCCTTGAGGAAAGAAAGAAAAGAGCGGTCCAGATTCCGCGCTGCATGATTCATTGGCCTTGCCCAGTGTATGCGGAGGCTTTGAAAAAACAATTCGAAAGGAGAGGAAGGCGAAGTTGGTCGAAAAAACATAGAACAATAGTAAAGTAATAGGCCAATTAATCTTCAAAATGGTATATATACGACGTCGTTATATATACTCAGGCTTGGAAAACATATAAGTAAAGGCATTTAGGATCCCCTTAGGGAATTATGCATCCGACCTCGGCCAAACCAAATTGAGTTGAAAACCAGATTCCGCGCTTTGATTCGGTCTTGCCCAGTGGCGGAGGACCAAAACAATTTAAGGTAAGGCGAAGTTGATAACATAGATAGTAAAGTAATATCTCTCTTTAAAATGGTTTATGTACGACGACGTTATATAGTCCAGCACAAAACATATAAGTAAAAGCATTTAGGATACATAGAATTATAAAAAATACAACCAAACCAAATTAATTGAAAACCAAAAGATTTGAGCAAACAACAATGGAAAAAAAAGTGACTGATTTAGAGTTGGGTGAGTTACCGTCCATCTGTACTGTGCACTGTGCTCGTTGTCGCTTGGTCGCCACTCGCGGAGCGCAGCTCGTCTCTTGTCTCTTGATCGCCACTCGCCGGCGGCTCCTTACCCACACTGACACCGGATCGGCGAAGTCACGACTCACGTGATCGCCGGCTCGTTGTCGATCGCTCGCTGTCCACACCGGATCGGCGACGGCGGCGTCGCGGCGAAAGTCACGAACTCGCGATAGGATAAGAATTTGGAGCGGTCAGCGGTGGAATGCAAAGCGCGTCGGGCGCGTGGAAAACGAATGGGCACAGCGCACAGGCTGCAGTGCAGTCCAATCCATGGACCATGCCACGATGGACCATATGTTTTGCACAGCCCACAAAAGACCCACAAAGCAAGGCGTAAAGGCCCAAAGGCATGTAACGATTCAAACTTCAGACTTCTGCCATCTTCTTCCTCATGCGGACATACGCCATTGAATCAGCAGCACAGTAGGACCTTCAACCTTGCATCCATGGCTGCCGGAGCATCCGCCGCGGAGCCAAAGTAGGGCGAGCCTCAGCCCCTGGTCTTGCCAAACCCCATGGATCGAGGAAGAAGACAAAGGTTGGTTTCGATTTTCGAGCACCAGCCTGCTGTGTTCCTGTTGCCAGGATCAGGGAGCTCGGCGCCGGCAACAGGGACGTGAACGTCACCCGGTTCTTCAGGAACCACAAGGAATCGAGGCATGGACCGATGGACGGCGTCCTGCAGCCACCCACAGAGGCGCTCCACCTCCACTACTATCTCCAACATTAACAATGGGGTCGTTGGAAGCTTCCAAGCCGAAGCTGGAAACAACAACGCGCACCCACGCCACGCATTCGTAGTCGCGCGCAGAGGCGTGCCCGATTCGGGCGGGCGGCCATGTGGAGGCGTCGCCGCGGCATGTGCCGTCTTGGATTTGGTTCAGATTTCCCGGTGCCAATTGGGGTGGCCCGTGGCCCGTGGCCGCGCGCGGCCGGAAACCACACCAATCACGTTGTTGGTTGCTCTACCAAACTACCATCATCCCACTGATGCATCGCCCACGAACGAACTAATCCCGGGTGGTGGTGGTGGCACTGGCAGCCCGTGGGGTTCTTCGTTCCACTGGTGCCAATTGATTAATCGGCAGGGCACCTGGGATTAGCGACACCGCCAGGATATGCCGGGCCCCTTGTTTCGCGACCCTCCTCAGGCATTATCCTGTGCTCACCGGCACTAATCGCCCGCCGCCGTGCCCCGGGTTAGGTCCAACAACTAGGAGACAACCGAACCGAACCTACCCGACCGCAGTTGCAAGCGATGCTCAATCCATTGCTAGAGCTAGACCCAATTGGCCGCCATGTGTATAGTCCTCGACGATTCTTTTCCTTCTCCAACTTGATCGGTTTGTGTTTTTATTCTTTGCGGGCTGACTCCACAAGGAACCGTCTGAAGCTCAAAGTAGAATATATTTTACTACATTGAATGATTCATTAATTTTGTCCATATTCAACCTCCACCCTCCCAAACACAATTTCGACTTGATTAGCCCCGTGTTGTTTCAACCATCTCATGCGTTTTCTTCTTTTTAGAAGTAGAAACTAAAACAATCGTATTTTTTTAGACTGGCGTGCATGTAAGAAGTAAAACATGTATCCCTATTGGAAGGCAGAAGCTTGTATTGAGAGGCTCTATATATTGGCGGGTCTCTTAGCGTATAATACGTACATTGGGTCATGAAAAAAGTCATTCCAAAACATAGATTTTGTTCAATTGTGCGTACAACAAGCCATTTCATCAGCTACCGTATGAGAAAAAGCAAAAGCAAGTGAACCCATAGGTTTTAGTGTTTTTAAAAGTAGCTTCTCATCTGCGACTTTTGAAAAACATCGCCACCAACAAATGTTAGCCTTACCTGTTCAAATTATTTAAATTGCTCTAATCTCTGCACCATAATAAATATTGTGCCTTTCATAATTCTCCAAGTTCACGATGGGTGTTAAGCTCAAATTTTTGTGAGAATTGAGATGGCATCATGAACTACGTCACAAAACTTTGTAGGGACTTTTCATGATTATTTCCTACTATTTTTAATCTCCATGATTACTGAATGCTCGGAAAAGTCTCAAAATAATTTTTGTTTTTGTAACATACGATATGATGCCAACTATTACCTGGAAAGATTTGGACCTAAAACTCAAGGTGTGGTGCTAGGAGAGAAAAAAAATGAATTCTATCGGATTGGACCAATTCAAACAAAATGTGGATAATAAATTGAGTTGATTTTTTTTCTGGAATGTCGACTAGACAAAAGTAAATTCTCTTGGTGGTAACATGGATTCCATTTCCCTATTTTTAAAGGCAACAAAAATGAAAGATACTGTAACATGCTTTTGTCTCAACACGATGCAATGTCATGGTGCTTCAATTATAGTAAAACTTTGTTTTAACTATGATGTAAAATATAAAGATAGAAATAACTCTATTTTACTCTCGTACGGTATTCCTCAAGTCTCATTAAACCTCATAAATTTTGCTTTGATTTACTTCAGCACTGGTTCTATGGCCAAGTAGTAGGCAATGCTCTATGGCCATATCTATGCCACCCTATGATCAAGTCTTAAGAGAGAGAGAGACACACACACACATAGAGGCAAAAATTTAGAAGATGAAGCCAAAAAATACATTAAGGGCCTATTTACAGAACTCCACTCTTGGATTCTCTAGCCCCTAATTCACTCCAATTTGCTCGCATGATAATTCAAGTAGACAAACATAGAATATAAAATATGAGGATTAATCTAATTCCATGAAATCAGTTTTAACTAAACTATAGTGAAGCAAAAAAAGTGAGTAAAATGGGTTTTGTTTTTTAAATCATATTTTTTAAAACATTTAATAATATTGAATCAATAATCATCATAGTCATATTAGTATATGTATATCTGAAGCAGTAAGACAAACAATCTTAAAACCATGCTTGTTTCTTCGAAACTAAGGGTCTGTTTGGTTCCCGCCGCTACTCACGTCGCCACAACTGTGGGTGCGCTGCAAGTATGACAAAGAAAAACAACACCGAGCTTTTGGCGAGCCACGGCGCCAAAATAAACTATCAACGCGTAAGTAAAGTTTGGCTCACCCTAACTCGGGTCATGAAGCAAACGGTAGCTAAGGTTAGTGGCGACATGTTGCGGCGAGCGAAGATAACGAACCAAACATAGCCTCGATCCCACTCAATTACAGTCCAAACCACTGTCATTGTCTATTGTCGTTCTAATCCCTATTCATCAACCAAAAGCCCCAACCTCAATGGCAACAAAAAAGATGATGATCATCAAACAAAAAAGAAAAAAACGCCTCAACCTCAACGACTCAACCCCTAGCCGCGTTTTGTTGTTACGCGGCGTTTATTTAATCCAAAGCAGCTTCCTTTTACTTATTCCAACCCTCTAAGCTCTGGCACAGCTAGTTCCGCCTCCTCTCCCTTTTCTCATCTCCTCGCTTTCGCTTCGCCGTTCCAACGCCCCCACGGAACATAAAGGCCAAGAAGTGATGGTAGTGGAGTAAAACCACGCGCCTGAGGGGAGAGGGACAGGTTTGGTGGAGGACGCGCACCCGGGGTGGAGAGCAGCAGGAGCTCCTGCGGCGAATTCGGGCCGCGAGTGCGTCTGTTCAGGCGGCCGCCGCCGGTGGAATTGTGGCAGACGAGGTGGCCTGTTGGTGCGGCGGGAGTTTGCGAGTAGGGCGGTTCTGGTTGGTGAGTGAGCGAAGGTGTTGCTGGGGGCGTGGATCTGGCCGGCGGCGGGCGATGGGAAGGAGGGACTAGGGCTCGATTGGAGGGAAAGACGCGATCTTGGGGGTTCCCATGGGCGGATGCTTCTCGCAGGAGGAGCACCGGCTCCAGAGCAGGCCAGGTTCGGGCTCCATGCTTGTCCTACTCCCCTTCATGTATATTTTACTGTATATATCCGTGAGTCCAGGTTAGGCGTGGCTACCTGTGTAATTTGGTCGTGGATTAGCTATCAGTTGCTTATGGATTCTGGTAGAATCACTTTGAGAAGGGGGGAAATAATGGATTTTGATTGTTTGGAATGCCCGATTGTAGCATGTTGCTATCTGTGCTTGTGAGCTCATGTAACAAGTGATGGGATGTGCCATGCATAGCCTTTTTGGCGCAAAATTTTCCTATTCAATGTTGTATTTTCATGCTCTATAGTGCCCAATTTCTTCTGTTCGCGCAAACTTTGCATGGTGTAATTTTGCTCATTGATGTCCTGTGGGAGATGTGATTACCATAATAGACCCATGTATTGCTTATAGAATTGCATTCTGGGGCAAGGCCTAGTCTAGGGGAAGAGTAAGTCAACTTCAGCTCATATTTTGATGTACAAACAATATCAGCAATGTTCTCAGATAATTTGGTACCTGCGCAGGCGGTGCTTGAACAATTCTGGTCACTTGACCTTCAATTGATTATTGACAAGTTGGTCAAACATGTGTCTCAAATTAATCCTGAAGACAATTAATGGATAAAGCAAACTTTGATAATGGGTAGTTCCGCAGTTGTGCTGATATCTTCATGAGTTTTAGTAGAAATTGCATCCTGCTTATGCTATCTTGTTACCATAAATGCTCTCTTAAAACCATTTTAATCTTCCGTTAAGATCATTACGACTGTGCAGTATGATTATGCCTTCGCAGTTGTTCCGAAAGGCCTTCTTATTGGCCATGATGCACAATACAGAGCATTTGCATGCACGTCATGGACTAATGTGAATAAAAAAAAGGAATTGTCTACAGGGACTGAAGGATTGATGATTGCATCTTAAAGAAATGCATTGACTATATATGTACAAGCTTTGATCCTCTTCTGATGAAGTTACTTCTAAAATTTCTATCAGCTGAAGCTGCTGGTGCTGGACCAGACGGACTGCGGAAGTCTAAATCTGATTCTAAAGCTATAGCAAGTGTTCTTGCTCCTCCAAAAGATGTGGTGGACCTTCAAGTAGAAGGATATGGAAATGTGAATATTTTCACATATGATGAATTGAGAGCAGCCACAAAAAACTTCCGACCAGATCAAATTCTTGGAGAGGGTGGGTTTGGAGTTGTTTACAAAGGTGTAATTGATGAAAATGTTAGAGCAGGTTTCCCATCCAGACAGGTTGCTGTGAAAGAACTAAACCCAGAGGGCTTTCAAGGGGACAAGGAGTGGCTGGTAAGTCTCATTGCTCTGTTCCTGTTTCTAAACCTGTCTTTGGTAATGTACATTGAAAAGAATCCCTTTTGATTTCTTGCCCATGTGAAATCTTCATGAGGTTAGCTGATCGTATCTTTGAAGACCTACTTAGTGATAACATTTTTCTTTGTAATCTGTATTGGATAGCCATTTTCCTTGCTTATTTTTTAAGAAATAACTTTCACATCGCACTAGAGGTAGAAGAGTGAAAACTAGGCTGAAAATCTACTTGCGATTGTTGGAGCACTAATGGTTTTCTGATGTGTTTCCAGGCAGAAGTCAACTATCTTGGGCAACTTAGTCATCCAAATCTTGTTGAACTGATTGGCTATTGCTGTGAGGGTTCACATAGACTGCTTGTCTATGAGTACATGGCTTGTGGAAGCCTCGAAAAGCACCTTTTTCGCCGTAAGCTCTAACCAGCTATTTGCAGTACCTCTTTAACATTCATTGTTCCTCATAGTGTAGGGGTGTATCATTTTTTGCCTTGGGACAAATCATCTGTAGGAAGGAAATTAGTATTAGTTTCAGTTTAATCTCATCAGTGACTATTGTGCATGTTCGCTTAACCAGCCATCTACACTACAAATGTAATCTCCAAATGTTAGGGTTTGTTTTTGAAATGATAGTGGGTAGTATTTGTTTGAACTTGTGGAAGTCTTTGGATCCAACTAGCACTTCAATTTATGTACTAAACCCTGTAGCAAAGTTGGCCAGGTGATCTTATGTGATTGGAGTTCTTATGGTAACCTGATTATTAAGAAAATGAAATTAATATACATTAGTAGATGAATGGCAATAGTTACTGCACCATCATTACAGTGGATGGTAGTCTTGTATGTGCTGAGTTTAATTTTCAACATCATTGATTGATCTGAAAAGCACACTTGCTATTTTCCCCTGTAAGAGATGTTCTTATTCAAGTGGTGACAGGAAAATATGCTAATCAAGTTTCACATATTTGATTGTTATAGTTATATCTATATTTCCATTTGGAGAGGGCGTTCCCATTGATTTTATCTTGCCTGTAATATTGCAGGGGTTTGCCTTAATATGCCATGGTCAACACGCATGAAGATTGCATTGGGTGCTGCAAGGGGGCTCGAGTACCTTCACGGAGCTGAGAGATCCATCATTTATCGAGATTTCAAGACATCAAACATCTTGCTAGATGCGGTTCGTGTTTCATATATTAACTTTTAATGTGTTGATAGTATTGCTGTATTTATGCTGTATTTCAACTACATGTTTAAGGTTGTTTCTGTATAAAACTTCTTTCATGACCTACCAAATTATATTTTGTAACATATTTTCCAAGGTTATTAAGGCCTCGCTTAAGAGCCGAAGCTGTTAGGTGTCGCCCTGTTGCCTTACACACATGCCGCCGCCCGCTTGATTGTGCATCTCCCACTCGATTCTGCCTTCTGCTCGATTCCACTGCTGTTCGCTTGATTTCTTCCATCCCTGCTTGCCAATCGCTCAATCAAGAAGGGGACTGTGGTGGTAGTTGGTGTGAGGGCGCAGGACAGTGAGGGAAGTGAAAGGAAGCGGAGAGGTTGTGAGCGGCGGCGGCACATCTGGAGAAGGACAGAGACGGAAGCAAGAGACAGGGCGGGTGTGGAGGCGGAGGTGGAACAACGGCTCTGAGAATGAGAGCGCGAGAGATGCAAGAAGCAGGGTGACGGAGCTAGATGCTTCTGGATGGTGATGTATATGTAGGGGAGGGGCACATGGGCTGCCTGGTGGGCTGGCCAGCCCCACTTCTTACTCCTTCCTCCGCTTTTTTTTCTTTTCTTTTCTCCTTTCCTTCCTCCTTCACGCTGATGTCTTGCATTTCCTTACCTTGGTATGGCGTCACCTTGCCTCATGTCTCACTTGCCAAAGCGGTAAGGCGGTATTGAGTCATGATAATCACCTTTCCGCCCTGATAATCATGATAATTTTCACCGCTGAACAATGCTGTGGGAGGCTGTGAGCCTGTGACACATTATGTCTATATATCACAATGTGTTTATCTCGACATCTAGAGGAACTACTCTGTAAGTGTGTATACATTGTACTAAGTCCCCCGCACATGCAATTTACCGTGCCTCCAAAATGCATCCATGTATTTTGAGGCTAATAAAGACACTTAATTACTTTTGCCTTGCCCATCTTGTAGAAACGAAATGTTTTTTTTATAAAGGAAACTTTTATTACTTTCTCAAGAGCAATACATCGATTTGATACAAAGCTTTGAAAAAAAAACCACTTCCGACTTCTGCTTTTCAACAAAATGTTGCACAAGGAATGCTGATCTAAGTTTCTCACTGCAGATCTTGATATGTTATGTATTAATATAAACTTCTGATAGCTTCTCATTGCCACTCTTTACCAATGTTGCAGGATTACAATGCTAAGCTTTCAGACTTCGGTCTCGCAAGAACAGGTCCTAGTGGAGACCAAACCCATGTGTCAACTCGGGTCATGGGAACTTTTGGATATGCAGCTCCAGAATATGTCATGACTGGTAAGAAAGGATTTCCTATCATCAAGCTAACGATTTGAGCATAAAAATGAACTTGTTCCTGGGAATGAATAGACACTCATGGTACTTGACTTAGTCCAAATATGTTAATCCTCAATCACCAATTAACTTGATGCAGGCCATCTGACAGCACGAAGTGATGTTTATGGCTTTGGAGTTGTGCTTCTAGAGATGATTATTGGAAGAAGGGCTGTGGACAAGAGCCGGCCAAGCCGCGAGCATAACCTAGTTGATTGGGCACGGCCCCTCCTCGTCCATAACAGGAAGCTGTTCCGAATAATCGATCCAAGAATGGAAGGGCAATACTCCACCAAGGCTGCCATTGAGGTGGCAAGCCTTGCATACCGCTGCCTGAGCCAGAACCCCAAAGGACGACCAACCATGAGCCAAGTTGTTGAGACCTTTGAGGCGGTGCAGAACATGCCTGAATGCCAAGACATACTCCTCCAGAACTGTATCACAGGTGCCGTGACGCTCTATGAGGTCCCAAAGGAGTCTGTGGACAGAGTTGAGTTGGAGAAGGCCAAGCAGGAACCGGCAGTAAAGACTGCCGCAATGCCGCCCGTGAATGGAAAGCCAGTCCCCCAGAGCAGGCGAACACGGCCTGGGAATGGCCGGAGCAAGAGCGAGCCATCGTTGGAGTGTAAGATGTACATCCCGTCACCAGACTCTGACAGACAGCAGCTCGGCCTGGAGGCACTCGCATCCCCAAATGGAAGCATAAAGGACCCTCCTGATGAGGATTTGTACAAGATATAACACCAGAGCAGTTTTTTTCAACAACGTGAGCCCTCGTTGCTCGCCTTCTGCGCCTTCACCCTTGTTCTCAAAGATCAGTCAGTTATAAATTTTTCTCTGATGGCCACCGGCCACGCTAGGGTTCTTATTCTTCTGATTAGCAATTGTATGTAGAGGAGAGTTGTGATGGAAAGCATGTGTGAGTGCCTGCCAACCTGATACACTTCTTTCTGGGGGTATTTCCACTCCAAAAATGGAAGTGGAGAGATGTGTCCTGACAATTGGTGCCGTTACCCGTCTGTTGAGTTACTTGTAAAGATGCTTGTTCTTTCGTTGTAATCTTGAACAGTCCTGCGGGAAATCAACACCACCATGGAAATTGATAGATTAGTCACTGTGTTGTCAATTTGTTCAAATCAAGAGCGGTAAAGTCTTCTTTTTCGGTGCACGGCCAGAGTGGTAAGCTCGTCAAATAAGGGGGTGTTCGCTGGCTCCTATCAAAACGGCTCCGGTTTCTGTTTTTTAAAAAAACGGCTTTTTTTTCTCTAAAATGTTTGGTAGGGCTCATTCGGAGTAGCCGGAGCAGGGGAGAAGTCCTACCAAACAAACCTAAGTGGAAAGGGGCCTTTTGTTTTTTTTTTCTTGTCGTTTTGGCTTTCTTATTTACTATATATCTAAACATAGCGTATATAATATATATTTAGAAAAGACAAAACGGTTTATAATGGGCTTATGGTTATTCTATTGTGTCTATGTATTCAGATATAGCATATATAATATATATTTAGGAAAGATAAAACTGTTTATAATTTGAAACGAATGGAGTAGTTTTTTCTCTTTTTTTTTAGAATCAGAGTACAAATGTAAATGCCCATATACATGCAAGCATGCTTAGTTCTATGAACATACCTTTTTTTTCAAAGAACCAGCGACAAAAACATGCCACATATGTATTAACAGATAAGAGATTTAAAAAAACAAAAAAAAAACAAAAAAAAAACTCACGAAGGAGGCGACAACAGAACTACCACCATAAGAAATACAACACCAGCGAACCTCCGAAGCAACGAACGTCAAAACGCCACCCTCCACGCCGAGAACAAACAAAGTAAACGCGACGCCTCCAAGAAGAAAAACGACACCCACAGATGTCGCCAATGCTGACTGGAGAACCATGATTTTTCAACCTCTTTGAACATACATATATATATCCTAATCTCGAGAGTGATATACCTACATGAACACACATACTTATTTTTATAAATACACGGACGCTGACTACCCTAGGAGAAATATCTAAAAAACAAAGTTGATAGATCTTAAAATTAACAAAATCATTACAACCTTCACGATCGATGCGCAAGTCGAGTACCCAAAAAAAACACCCTCGTTGGCTCATGAAATAAATCATGAAAAAATATAAGCGTCCGTGTAAGTCGATGCATTAACCTAGATTAACCTAGACAAGCAATTACATAAAAAGATAACCTGACCAGACGACTAGGTTATTTAGCTGTTAGTAGTTAGCTAGCTAATAGCACATAGCTAAAATTAGCTAGCTAACTGTTGGCTACCTATCTATTATCTATACCTATTTGGATTAAAAGAGATAATTATTATCAATTAGTTACTATCTATAGAGAATTTATATTCATTATCCGTTAATAGCTAGCTTGCTAATAGCTCATATCTAATATTATTTAGCTAACTATTAGCTGAAGGGTGTTTAGATGCATAAATAATGAAAAATGATATTAAGATACCTATTAGCTGCTATTATGATCTAACTAGTGAGATAGTTATTATCTAGAGGTTCAGATAACAATTAGCTATTTTATTAGCTACCTATATTTGGACATAAAAGAGATAACTATTAGTAAATAGTTATTATTATTATTATCTATAGGATCAACCGGGTGAGAGCTGTAAAGAACTCAAGTTTTCTGCGATTCTTCTTTTGTCCTATTTTGGCGTGGTAGGAAAAGTGGGAAAAAAAACTGACATGTGGGCCATTTTGCGAGAGGAAAGAACACATCGGCTCAAACTTTCAGCACATGCTCGCCAAGTTCCGTCCCCTCATGGCGACGGCGGCGAAGGCAAGGGCGCCGCCGGCCGTGACGGCTTCCACAGCGGCGGCGGCAGCGGTGGAGCGGGAGGAGCACGTGCACTACAAGCACACTGATGCGTGCCACCAACTCCGGTGGACAGCCAAGTAATGGCCCCTTCCTTTCTCCTTTCTCCTTTCTCTTGCATCTCGCTTCGTTTTCTCCTCTAGCACTTAGGGCTTTGAGCCTGATCCATAGAGCTTTGTTGGTTGATTGGTTTGTCAGGGAAAGCTATGAGTACATGTACGCGCGGCCGTGGAGCAGGGTGGTCGACTTTTATGCGAGCTTGTGCGCGCCGGCGCCGGCGCCGCGGGGCTCGCCAAGCTATTTGGGAAAGATGAGGTAAGAACAAGCATTTTGTTATTGCCACCAGCCACCCTATGATAGACAGGTTGTGATTTTTCTTACTTTCTCGATATGGATGAAGGAAGAGAAATGTCGTTTTTTTTCTGACAATTATCTATATTATGCCGAATTGTAATGTCGTCCAGTAAATAGATCTTCTCTTTTAAGCAGACTGATGATTGAATCAAGCCATACCAGTATTGCACGATTAAAATTTGAATGCATGGCCTGGTACTCTAGATGTACCTATACTGGAATAGCTAAAGAAGCGCCAGGATCAACTGGGATTTAGATTGTTGTGTAGGCCAGATTTTTCTAGGAAAAAATGTTAGGGTTGGCCTATTATTCACATATTTTGATTCTGAGAAACTCATTTAGATTTTACTTCACAGAAAGATTACACCCTTTATACTGCTGGAGAAAATTATCTAACACATCAGAAAAATCAACGGCAACTACTTCCTCCAAAGACCGTGGAGGAAGATGGGAGAGAGTAACATTTAAAGTTGTTATTTCATACCATGGGGGGTCGTTCGATGGCTGGCAGAAACAGCCTGGCCTTAATACTGTTCAAGGGTAACTTTCTTCAACCTATTACTCTTCACTTCATTCACATGTAGTAATGGAAAACAATCACTGGGTACTGTTTTTTAAACTTCTTATTGATTTGCAGGTTAGTAGAGAAACATCTTGGACAATTTGTTGATGAGCGAAAAGCTAAACAACTTGAAGCAAGATCTTTGCCAATAGAAGGCTGTGCAGTTGTTGCTGGGTGCACTGACAAAGGGGTGACTGCTCTTCAGCAAGTTTGCTCATTTTGTTAGTTAACCTTGAGAATACATATACTGTCACTATCATTGTTGTTTTTCCTAATTTTGTCACATTATTAAATTTATTATGCAGCATATCCAACATCTATGGGTTGACATTTCTTTATTTGTCACTTCCTTTTTTTTTTGTTTTTTTTTAATTAGATACATGGAGAAAGGATGTCAAATCGGGAGATATAAAAGATGCAATAAATGAGGCTGCTCCAGATAAACTAAAACCTTTGCATGTGTCAGAGGTATATTTTCATCTTTTGCCGAATATACCAATGCACTTAATATTGATGCTGTTAGTGATGCATTCTATCGTGTCATTTAATCATACAACAGTGTTAGAGCAGTTTATTTTTGTTGGTGAAAGTTCTGAGAATGCCAGGACCTCAACCGTAAATGATGCCATGCTCCTGTATTAACTTATGATACAATTTGCAGGTTGCACGTGAGTTTCATCCTAATTTTGCAGCGAAATGGAGGAGGTACATGTATATTTTTCCTCTTGATGAGGATGCTAACTTGATCTTAGGGGAAGCACAGTCCTAAAAAATACTAGACAAATCTGAACACAACGTAAAACCTCAAAGCTTTGATGTGGCTAAGGTTGACGAAATTCTTAAAACACTTGCTGGAAAGACATTATCCTACAAGATGTTTGCACGTGATACGCAAGCTTCACGAAGTGTGTAAGTTTCTTACAATCACAAGTTCATAACATGTGCATTTATAAGTACAAAAATGGGTTCTTACAGATTAATCTCTAGAGGCTTTATTTTCTAACCCTGACATAGATGTTCATCAGAACCGTCTGAAAATTGACAATATTTTTTTTCTCGAAAGAGAGTTATGTATCCTTATATTAAGAAGGAAAAGGGGCAAGAACCCTTACGACACACACCCACACCCATGTTTATGAGACTGCATTTGTACCCTTTTCTGAAATTGTCTACTGTAGTCATCACTACCTGGCAGTATGCTCCTTTTAGTGAAATGCATGTCTCTATGTTGGCACTTGTTCTAAAGGTCACTAAAGTCACCACTTCTCTCGATGTTCTATTGTTTTTTTCAGTGGTCCACCTACAGAATGTTTCATGTTCCATTCCCGAGCTGCAGTGGCCAAACTACATTCTGCTAATGAGGTGAGAGCAGATTATTTTGTCTCTAATTGTTGTTTGGAATGCAGTTATCAACTGAAGAGCTATGTAGTGTTTGCTGCTGTGAGTTACTCTACAAATATGTTGCAGTGTAATACTGCTGTGACAAATTTTTTTTTTGCTGATCCCAGAACAAATGAATATCTGACTAAAGATGGATTGTTAGTTACCACTATCAAATACTTTGATCTAATACTTTCCATACCATCTACATATTTATGGTTTCAACTGAAAATATTATGTTTGATTTTTGTTTCCCCTTTCTGCTCAGGATTATAAAGAAGGTATGATGGTCATGTGTGTTGAGCTAGTTGCGAACAGATTTCTACGCAAGGTAATACAGCAAGCTATGATGTGACCTTCGGCCTACGCTCGATCATCATATGACTACTAGTTCTCACTATATTTCAATGTACAGATGGTCAGGGTTCTTGTCGCCACTGCCATAAGAGAGGCTGCTGCTGGTGCTGGTGACGATGATTTGCTGAAGTTAATGGAAGCCACCGACAGGCGTGCCACTGCACCTCTGGCACCGCCAGAGGGCCTTTGCCTGGTAGATGTTGGTTACGAAGATTTTAGTAAACAGAGGTGCTTCATAGTTGATTAAAGAAAATATTCCTTGTAGGGGTGAGTGTGCGTTTGGGTTTGTGTCCGTGCCGTTTCTCGGAAAAGGGACAAAAAAAAGAAAGTTCTTATGTACTTTTTGTTAGAGAGATACAAGATGATTGAACAATTGAGGAATTTGTAGTCTGCTTGGTTTGCGACCAAAATTTGCCACGTCAAAGATTTGGCAAGAAACAGTTGGGTAAAAAAAGTTTGCCATCGATTTGGCAAGCCAAATGTGAGAGGTTGTGACAGCAAACCAAATAACAGCCAAAATCATGATTTGTCAAATCTTTGGCTTATTTGAAAGCCAACCAAGCAGCCCCTTGGTTACTCCAGGTTGCTGACAAGATACGGTTTAGATTTTGGCCCTATATCTACATGCTTATTTGTTCACTCCGAACATGATCAATTCCACACCATTCTTGTATCCACCCATCGAATTTTTGAAGCTGGCTTATAGGAGAGAGCAGAAAAGTTGTGCCCACGTTGAGGTGAGAATCAAATTGAAACATAGAAGAATGTCTTAAGTGTTCCCACTTAGAGCAAATAGTTGCATAACCTGCTGTGTTTTTTCTCTGTCAGATGCTCCTTCCGCTGTGTTTTTTTTTTGGTTCTCTCTGTGTTTTCCCACCTGACTAGTATTGTGCTACATGAGCAGTTGTACATTCGGTAAATGGTGTGTAATGCGAACATAGGGCAGTTCCGAGAGGGAATTGCTGGCGCCCTTTTTATCGGACGGTACCGAACGGCCCAGTAGAAACACGCCTGCACTCCCACCGTATCGCTGTAGTCCTTTTCCGTCTGCCTCGTCCCACCACACACGCGTACCCACCCCCGTCGCCCTGCGCCCACCACTCCTTTCCCCTGACCCCCTCCTCTCTCTCTCTCTGCGCAGGCGGGACCCGGGAGCCGGGATGAGGACGAGGACACCCCGTCCACAGGGGCCCAGGCACGCTGCCCCTTCCCCCAGTGAAAGGTCTTAAATGAATAGAAGGGGGTGAATAGCCTATAAAAATTTCTACAAATACACTAGAGCAAGTGGTTAGTACACTAAATGGTGAAATAGCATTTTACTCTAGCTCTAGTCAAAAGACAAGTAACCTACTGATGAGGACATGACCTCCATACATATGACCATGCTTGAAGAACCATATGGAGACCGGGGAGATCAGCGAGGGTGTCCTAAGCGAGAAGGAGGCCCAAAGCTCATCCGGTTCGAGTCACCAAGGTGGAGGCCCAAATCAAGTTCGAGTCCATCTCGGCCTCCAGGACCAGTCTGCCTTAAACTGGTCACCCAGGATACATCCGGACTCCGTTTTCGACGATCCATATATGGATGGAAAGCTAATTTGATAAGGAAGACAATCCAAGTGGTCTTACGTCAAAAGCTGTTCGGAATCAACGGTAATCGTGGTCACAAGTCAGCGCCTAGAATCTACCAGGGTGCTGCGACGCCGTAATTTGGTCCGTTGGACCGTGTATCGTGTTTGGGCCCATTAGGGGGCGCGTCTAGGGGGGAGACGCCCAAGACTCTATATTTTTTAGCCATCGCTCTCCTTAGGGTTTGGGTTTAGTTTAGTTCTTGACTTCCTCGTGAAACAGACATCGTTTTGCTGCAATTGTCACCGCCAAGGCCGCTTGCTGTGAACCAGGGGCCCCAGTTCTTGATCTTGTTCGCTTGTGGCGATTAGTTCTTTCGAATAAAGACTTGAACTCCTTCTTGTTTTTATAAGCCTCATACTTATTTGCAATTTCAGATTGCGTTTATCTCGTTCTTGCTTGTGTTCTCGATTCGCTTGCAGGAAAGCCTTCTCGGCGAGGTCAATCGCGTTCGTCGTGGTTGATAACCATCGGAGCAGTGGTGTAACGGTTCGGGGGTCCAAATCAATCTTGGTTCGAAGCCTAGATCGTGAACGTCGAGTCTCCACCAATCGACGCTATCATACCTTTCGGAAGATCGGGCCTAGTCTACATCACCCACCAACAATTCTAGTTATCTACGATCTTTATGCACAGAATGGCTAGGTTGCTACACTCTATACTAGTTGAGCTAGCTAGAAACTAAAAACAACTAAGCAAACAAGTGAGCTACTCTAGCAACTACAACTACCACTACACAAGTAAGTATGAATGTAAATGCAAGAGAGTGATAGAGTGGTTATATCGAAGCCGGGCAAGCGAAAAAATCAATCACAATGAATACCAATTGACAAAATGATTTTTTCACCGAGGTTCACTTGCTTGTCGGCAAGCTAGTCCCCGTTGTGGCGGTTCACCCACTTGGAGGTTCACGCGCTAATAGGCATCACACGCCTAACCCGCAACCGGGTGCCGCACAACCAACACAAGATGAGGATCCACAAGCCACGAGCAATCCACTAGAGTTGTCTTTCGTGATCTCCCACGGGGAAGGCACAAGAACCCCTCACAATCATCACAATCGGAGCCGAAGACAAGACAAGCACCACCCTCCGCTCAACGATCATTGCTGCTTCAAGACGTCTAGGTGTTGACAAACACCAAGAGTAACAAGAGAAATCCACAACGAAACACAATCACCAAGTGTCTCTAGATGCAATCACTCAAATAATGCACTTAGATGCTCTCTAATCTCACCAAATGATGAATCAATCAAGCAAGATGAGTTAGAGAGAAATGGCTAGGCTCACAATGTTGCATTCTCAATAGAAATGGCCAAGAAAGTGAGCCCAAGCTGGCCAAATTCTATTTATAGACCCCCAAATGAAATAGAGTCGTTATGTCCTTCACTGGGCTGTCTGCGCATCGTCCGGACGCGCCTCTTCATAATGATCGGACGCTACAGCAGAGTCCAGTCGCCCCGATGCGGCCACGTCTTGCCCTCGTTCAACGTCGCGTGTTGATCTCCAATGGCTAGTAAGCTGCACCAGCTCAGTTAGTTCAGACCGGACGCGCCCGAGGCAGATCGGACGCGCCAGCCCTGCGTCCGCTCGCAAGCCCCCGTGCAAGCACAGTGCACCGACCGGACTCGCCCCCGAGCTGGGTCCGGTCGAGGTGATTTTTACACTAAGAGGTTCCAGAACGTGATTTTGACGACCGGACGCGTCCGCTCGGTGGTGACCGGACTCAGCCAGAGTCCATTCCTCACTGCCACTTGTTTTCAACCCTTGAACAGTACTAGCGTCGGTTCCGGTCCCTTCTCTTCACTAGGGTCCGGTCAAGAACCCTAACCAGCGCCACCTCCGCTCATCCTGACCGGACACGCGCCGAGCAGGGTCCGATCCCTGCCGAGGCCAGGGTCCGATCACTTGAAACTTCACCTTTTCAACTCCAACTTCTCCACCCTTGCTCCCAAGTGCTAACCACCAACTATATCACCATTGTGCACTTGTGTTAGCATTTTCACAAAGCATTTTCAAGGGTGTTAGCACTCACTAGAATCTAAATGCATATGCAATGAGTTAGAACATCTAGTGGCACTTTGATAACCGCATTTCACATATGAATTTTGCCATTCTTCATAGTACGACTATCTATCCTAAACCCACTCACACCCACTTGTTATCTTGAGTTGCAAAACAAAATGCTCCTGTCAAATATACCTTTGCCTTGAGCCATTTTATTTTTCTCTTTCTTCTTTTCCAAGTTTGGAGCTTGATCACCATCAACACATGTCCATCATCACCTCTATGGACTTCATCTTTGCTCCACCACTTGGTGCGTACTAACCTATTTCATATTCACTTAGAGCCAAATGTTAGTAATTAGGATTTCATCAATGAACCAAAACTAAATTAGGGCTTTCACCTGGCCCCGGGCCGTGCCCCCATGACTCTCTGAACATACCTCTGAAACACAAAACACTTGCAACATGAAACGCTTGAATGCAACATAAGTCTGAAGCAGATGAAACATTTGGAACATACACTTGCAACATGTGCGAAACATATGTAACATCCGGATAAAACACTTGCAACTTGCAACATGAAAACACTTATTGCAACATAATACTGAAATAGCTGAAACATTTTGAGCATACTTTTGCAAACATATGCAACATCCAAATAAGCACACTTGCAACATACGTCTGAAAAAACAGATGAAACATTTAGAACGGACGTTTGCAACATACGTGTACAACCGTTGCAACATGTGCAACATCACGATCCATTGTTGCAACATCCAAATGAAACACTTGCAACATACCTCTAAAACATCTTAAACAATTGAAACATACTCTTGCAACATGCGCTTTCAAAGCAACATCTCCTTGCTGCTCGGTAGAATGGAGGCTTGTCGGTGTGTGGTGTTCATCGGAGGCAGTGGCCCGGTGGCGCTTGTAGACGGTGGGCCGACGACAGTGGTTGCACGTCGCGGAAGGGAGGCATCGGGCGCACGAGCGGTGGGGAGGCCGCGGCCGCGTGACTTGGAGAAGGCAGCAGTGCGCCGCGCTTGGCAAGGCCGGCAGTCGAGCACCGCTACTCAGAGGCAGGCGCGCGCTGTGCCTAGCAAGGCCAGCGGCCGAGCGGTGCGCCTCAGACCGCCTCCGAGGGCCAGAGGCCGTGCGCTCAGAGGCGGCAGCGAGCGGATAAGAGCGACAAGAAGAAGAACGAGTGGATAGAAATAAGTGGATGAGCAGTTTTTGCAACATGTGCTAATCATGGATTAATTAGGCTTAATGAATTTGTCTCGCTAATTAGTAAACATGTGTTAATCATGGATTAATTAGGCTTAATAGATTTGTCTCGCTAATTAGTCTGCTACTCTTTTGCAATTAGTTTTATAATTAGCTTATGTTTAGTCCTCCTAATTAGCATCCGAACGTTCGATGTGTCACAGACTAAACTTTAGCCCCGGATCCGAACACCCCCCAACACACCAGCACTGGCTCTACATTTCTGTTATCTTCAACTAATGGACAACTGAGATGAAACTGCAAAACAAGGTGATGGACAACTAAATCGCAAAAAGACAGAAATCGACAAGCAAATTAGGAAAACAGATGTGATACAAATTTGAAAA